GACAGTTTGGAGAGGAGGTGATGGGCCTTATGGCCAGCGGCTTGGAGGTGGGAGATGGGGGGGTCGGCCGGGGTTGTGGTGGTGGTGGGGTTTGGCCGAGAGAGGGAGGGAGGGAGATATGGTCGGCGGTTTGTGGGGGAGAGAGGGGAGGAAGGGGAAAGAGAAAGTCAACCACAAACCCAGACGTTTCCTGCAGTTGGTGGGTATTACGATGCCCTCACCTAGGGACTTCAATATCTCCAAGAACTCTCAAGCTCTCCCAAAACACACAAGTGCAGAAATTTCTTGTAATAATGTTAATTACCCTCTCCAAAGGGGAGGAGGAGATATAAATAGCTAATGTTTATAATGACGAAATAAAAGACACAAATGCCCCTAAGGGTCACAAAAAACTATTCCCTCAAGTGAGGGTAGAAATGAAAAAATACACAAATAAATAAATACATATAATAACTCAAAAATAAATTGACGTAATCGTGGCAGTAGATCGTCGGCCCCGTCTCTGCTAAACTCTCCAAGGGCAGATGTCCTCATCAAATAAAAGGGTTGTAGTTTTATATATATATATATATGAGCTAACCAAATCATTTTTATAAAATAACACGTATAAAAATTTGGCCAATCATTTGGATCAACCCCAACATGGTACAGTCGAGTATGCTTTGATTGGATTATTCCAACTTAATTTTAGTATTTCAATGCATCATTAGGCCAATCAAGTTTTAATTGAGCAATTGGATTCATACATAAATTTAACTACTCAAATTGATTGATCTTGAGTGTGAGTCAGCCTTACTCCAAAGCGTTGAGAAATTTAATTAGCCATATTTGGGTCCACTCGGTTGCTCTAATTATTCTTAATTAAAATCTAAATCTACGCTTACCTAGGTCATTGAATCCCAATCTAAGTTGATATGAGCCAATAAGCTTTAATCCATAAAGTAGAATCAACTTGAAATTTAACCTACCTAAATCTGAACCAAACCAGTTGATGTTGAGCTCAATAGAGGTTTAATATGTTATATTAAGTTTGATTTCAACAAGCAATGCTCAATGAAGCCACTTCAATTCAATTAGAGAATCATGCTTGGAATCAGACTAACACTGTCAGATTCAAACCGAATGGGCCATTTCTAGGTCAGAACACAATTCAAATCAATTGATCTGATTGAACTCGATTATGGTTATGGGATTTCAGCACAGTACAAAATTTGAATCAAATGAGCACACTAAACAAGATTTTGATTAAGGGATCAAAATGTCTCTTCATCTTTTCTAAGGCCTTTTGAGATTAAATAGAGTTAGAAGCCAGAATCTGTTGGGGTAGTAGAGCCATTTAGTACATTTGATTAAGGTCAACCCAATTGAACAGGGAGCTTGTTTGACCAATCATGAGGTTGACATTCCTCCATGACATATTGAAGGTCAACATGCTCCAAGGCTGCCTTTTAACGACAGACAAACATGTTAGAAAACAAAATATAAATAAAATAAAACAAAGAGAATCTCACCATTGCATTCTACTCCAGGAGATCCTGTAAAGTTGTTTGCTTCAGGTGCAAGAAAAGGTGACCTATCATAACTTTCCAGTATAACTGTTAAGAAAACAAAAATATTGAGAGCTGTAAAAAGTGGTTCAATGGATGTTATCCGGAAGAGGACGGAAGCAAAATAAAGGAAAGCAACCAGACTAAGTTCAGGACAAACCGGCACTCTGAGCAAAGCCATCTGTTAAATCTGAAAAACTGAAGTTTCGAGGAATATGACTTAAAAAGCCATAAGGAGATGAATCGATATCCTGAAGTGGTTCGTTCAGTGCTTGAGCAGTCAACTCAGGACCACTGAAGGATGCACCAAGTGGATCAAGTGTGGGCTGAGTCTCCAAGAAACTGCTACCAGTAAACGCAAACTCAGAATTGGTTGTATAGCTAGGCTCTGTCTTGATTGTTGTACCATTCATCATGTGATTTCTTCCCATTAGTGAGTTCTTTGAAGATAACATGCTTGCCGGAACTTCCAACCTCCCACTAAAATTTGATGGAACATTGCCAAGTTGGACATTCTGATTTCCTGCAGGACCACCACTGATGATTGCAGAAGAAGATCCTCCATTGGGCAGTAAACCATCAGGCCTTGAAGTAGATGCATTTTCGGATAAATAGCATGAAGGGTTCTGGTTCACTGCAGCCAACTGCAGCAGGTAAGTCATATATTCAAATGTAAACAAACAAAAGCAAATATAAGAAAAAACGCAACTGCAGTTCAGACAACAGATCAAATTGGAGAATGGAACTTCAAAGTAGGATTAGTTAATGCTAAGAATCACTACTCCAAAGTTGGATCAAGTATATGTTACGCAGCCAGCCTAGGAGAGGCCGGCTGAACCGGTCCAACAAGGATCGGTTCGGGTTTACAGCCGGCAGACCAAGGTTTGGGCGGAACCTAGTGGGGCGGAAGCTCTAATGGGACCCACTAGCTTAATTAAATAGTGTTTAGGAGGAAAAATTTGAATTAGGGGCTGTTTAGGGATTTTGTAAGCCTCCTTTGGCCTTAATTAGTCTCTTGGAGGCTAGGTTAGGGTTATCTTGAGATTGGCTGAAACTTTGAGATTTAGATTTGTTTTGGTGTGGGCTCTAGGTTTGCTAGAGATTTGGAGAGTATTTCTTCTTCTCGAATTGAAGAAAATTGTATATTGCTTTGTTTTTTTTTTTCTTGTTCTTGGATAAAATCAAAGTATTTCTTTTGTGTTTCTTCTCCAATCTACTATATTTCCTGCATTTTTCTTGCTGATTTCCCCTTGAAATCAGCCCTATTTCTCGCTGTTTTTGCCAATTCTTTGCTAGGTTAGCTTGTGAACTCAAGTATTACCCTTAGAGTTACTGCAAACTCAAGTGCTTCATATCAAATTGGTATCAGAGCGTTGTCTTGAGACCATCGACAGCTGAAATCCAGAAATTTCAGCAAGGAAATTTCATCCGCAAGTTCTTCTCGGAAACCTTGGGAAGGAAAATGGCCGGAAGGAAAGTTGAAGTATTGGAGGGAGATATAGGTCAACTAAAGACAAATTTTGAGGAAAAAACCACTAATTTTCATAATCAATTTGCTTGCATCCATGAAAAGATGGATGGAATGTTCGCTGCCTTGGAAGACATGATGTGGAAGATGCTTGAGGGCAAACAAAATCCGGCGACATCGTAAGCAAATGAGACCACAGCCGACAATTGGAGATTCAGAAATCCAAACCCATTTAGGGGGAAGGAGAATCCGGAAGTGGAGATCCTTGAGGGAAATGATTGAATGCCTCATCTAGAACCACTTTCTAGAGAGGAGATGAGTTTGGGCTATGAAAGGGGTGCTGATTTTGTGGGGAGAGGGGATGATTTTTATTGCCGGGATGCTGAATATGAAAGGAGAAGAGGGGAATATGAGGAAGGGCTCGGGTATGATCACCGGAGGGAAGATCTTCACCACTGGGGAGCACTTCCTCTTCAAGGAATGGGAGGTTATAGATGATTTAGGAGAAACGAGGGTGACCCGAGGGTGAGAAAACTGAAGATACCCATCTTTGAGGGCGAGGACGCACATGGCTGGATCTACAAGGTGGAGCGATACTTTGCAGTCAATGGATTGACTGAGGAGGAGAAATCCTCTTCAAGGAATGGGAGGTTATAGATGATTTAGGAGAAACGAGGGTGACCCGAGGGTGAGAAAACTGAAGATACCCATCTTTGAGGGCGAGGACGCACATGGCTGGATCTACAAGGTGGAGCGATACTTTGCAGTCAATGGATTGACTGAGGAGGAGAAACTGACAGCGGCGGGACTGTGTTTGGAAGGGAAGGCACTGCCATGGTACAAATAGCGGGACATGAGGCGACCCATTCGAAGCTGGAGGGAGTTCAAGGACTGTTTACTAGAACATTTCTGAATCAGTAGGGGATGAGACTTCTACGAATAGTTATTTGCCCTGATGCTGGAGGGGACAGTGGCAGAGTACCATAATTGATTTGAGTACCTAGCTAACAGACTGGATCGTCTTTTTAAGACCGTGCTTGAGGGGAACTTCATGAAGGGGCTCAAACCGGATATCAGAGCAGCTGTTAGAGTGATGAGACCACGTGACTTGGGGGAGGCTATGGAGTTGATGCAGCTGGTCGAGGACCATAAGCATTTGGAGATGGGGGCTCGAGGCAGTAGCTCCGGGGAATCCTACAGGATGATTACTACCTTTCTAGCTCCCATAGGAGCTGCACCGGGAGGTTCACGCGAAGTACCAAAGGAGAAGTTTGGAGGAGGGGGTCTGGGGGAAATTTTAAGAAGCTTACTAAAAAGGAGATACATGACAAGAGGGCAAAGGGGTTGTGTTTCAGGTGTGATGAGAAGTACATGTCAGGGCATATGTGTAAGGACCAAACTCTTCATGTTCTCGTCGTCAGTGATGATAAAGAAACTGAAGAGGGAGGAGAGAGCGAGATAGTGGAGGAGGAGGAAGATAAGTTACATCTGGATATCGTAGAAGTCTCTCTAAACTCTCTGATGGTATTCGCCCTGAATCACAGTATGAAAGTGAGGGGTGAAATAGCATATCGTGAGGTAGTGGTGCTAATCGATAGTGGGGTGGGGCCACCCATAATTTCATCTCTAACCAGATCGCTAATCTGTTGGGGGTGAAATTAGTGGATACGGGAGGATATGGAGTGATGATGGGCACTTGAAAGGTAGAGGTGGGTAGAGGAGTTTGCAGAGGAGTGACGTTGACCATTCAAGGGATACATGTGAGAGGGGATTTTCTTCCCTTTGAGTTGGGAAGTACCGATGTCATCCTGGAGATGAAATGGTTGCAGACCTTGGGGGAGACCAAGTTTAATTGGGGTGCTCTGAGGATGGAACTGATGGAGGGAGGAAAGAGGATGGTGATCCAGGGCGATACAGGGCTGTCCAGGGCCGAAGTATCTCTCAAATCCATGATCAGATCCATACAGAAGGTGGGAGGTGGGTATTGGTGGAGCTACAACGCATGGAGAGGGTCAGTGCGGGGAAAGGGAGACATTCCCATGGCAGTACAACCACTCATACAGCAGTTCGGTGAGGTGTTCCAGCCACCTCAGGGCTTACCACCACCCAGAGAGCAGGAGCATGCAATCCTTTTGAATGATGGGGTGTCACCAATTAGTGTTCGGCCTTACCGCTACCCCCAAATTCAGAAAGATGAAATTGAGAAGCTGACTAGGGAGATGTTGGAGTCAGAGATTGTCAGACTAAGTGTGAGTCCTTTTCTAATCCAGTCTTATTTGTCAAAAAAAGGATGGGAGTTGGAGATTTTGCATGGATTATAGGGCGTTGAATAAGGAGACAGTACCGGATAACTTTCTCATTCCGGTGATCGATGAGTTATTAGATGAGCTGCATGGAGCAGTAGAGTTTTCTAAGATGAAATTGAAGTCGGGCTACCATCAAATCAAGAAGGAGGATATTCAAAAGACGACCTTCAGGGCGCACAAGGGGCACTACGAGTTCTTGGTGATACCATTTGGGCACACTAACGCCCCTGCTATTTTCTAGTCTTTGATGAATAGGGTGTTCCGGCAGCATCTCAGGAAGCTTGTGCTGATATTTTTTTATGACATTCTGGTGTACAACAAAATAGAGAAGAGCATCTGGAGCACTTGAAAGAGGTTCTTAAAATTCTACAGGCACATCAGCTGAGGGCCAACCTAAAGAAGTGCAGCTTCGCCCAGTCTAGGGTGGAGTATATGGGACATGTAGTGTCTAAGGAGGGAGTGGCGGCCGATCAAACAAAAATTGAGACAATGCAGAAATGGCCGATGCCTAGGAACATAATGGACTTGAGGGGTTTCATAAGATTGACTAGCTACTACAGGAGGTTTGTGAGGTGGTACAGTACCATCACTTGGTCGTTAACTGAGCAACTGAAGAAGGATAATTTTTTGTGGGAATATGCAGCAACCCAGGCTTTTAAGAGGTTGAAGAAAGCCATGACGACAGTCCCAGTGTTAGCTCTTACGAATTTCAGCCAGATCTTTGTGGTAGAGATCGATCCATATTGGGTTTGAAAAGCTATTTTTGATACATCTGACTCCTTAATCTTAATTTGGTGATAACTAAATCTCAAGTTAGCCTTCATGATGGGGCCTTGCGGGACATTGAATAGGTTGTCAACCCAAGGGAAAGGATGTTTGTTAATCATCATCACTTTGTTCATTCATCAATATTCATATATTTTAGTAAACTACCATCCATCTTCATGAATAGTGCTAGCCCTATAGTGAGACAGTTGGTCGGATGAAACTTTTCTCTAGTAAATCTTGCATTGTTGCTTCACAGCTCTTGTAATACCATTATCGCCATATGGCAGAGAACCTTTGAGTTGGGTGTCACCCTAGGAATGACATCTATCAAAAACTCAAAGTCCATATCAAATGTAAATCTAGTCAGGATGATAAAAAGGCGTCTAGGTAGTCACTAGCACATCCTCAAGCTGGTTGGCCTTCCCATCCAAGTCAAGCAAGTGAACAAGGTAGGCATATCATTCCTTCCCAACCATTTGTATTTCCTTGGCTACCAAGAAGATGAACGGGACGGCCCCAACTTTCCGTAAAGAAAGTAAAACTTGATTGCTTGATGTTTCTAAACTTTAACCTTCCTTTCTCTACAATCAATTGAAGAATAATTCCTTTAAAATTATACATTCCTAGGATGATGACAAACTCAACCATTGGAGCAATGATTAGGGATGATGGAAATGCTTAGTTCGGTGGGGCTCAAAGCCCTTAGACCTAATTTGAGGTTTATATATTATTAATAACATATGTATTGTACCCATCTTAAAGCATACCCAAGAGCTTTAAGGCCCATCTCGACCAAAATTTCGGTAAGAACAAGCAATGCCTATTGTTACATCTATATTTACTATCTTTCGTATTACCCATTCGTCAAACGTATACAGTGAAAATGACCCAATTTATAGGCACATAAAACATATAAATGTGCGCTGCAAGAGCATGCCGGTCAAATACGACAAAAAATAAAGAAAAAAGAATAAAAATAAAGTAGACACGAACTTTCTCAGTATTTATTGCTGTTGGGGTGTCCCCCAATCTAATGACTATCTAGAACATGTGAGTAACTCTCTTAAGAAATGAAAATCAGTAAATCTCTTTATGTTTGTCCACATCAGATTCAGCGTTAGAAAACGATTTTGAAAATAAAACCTAAATCTGTTCGGTTGTGCAGTATAATCCACACTTTGTAAAGAAATGCACTTCATTTTATTTTATTATTTTTAATAAACATATTGCAGAATGCATTGGAAAGAAAAAAATAATAGAATTCACTATTACAAAGTGTAACGAGTCATACATGTAGAAGAACATGAACCATGAGACATAGGCACTGAAACAACCCCTGGGGAACAAACTTTGTTCATAAGCTCCACTTGTTTCTCAAGAAGCTTATTGAATACCAATATTTGATTTTTAAGCATCAATCTAACATGATACGCCTTAAAAAAGTCTCTATTCTCCTCTTCAAGTTTCTGCCAAACTGAAAAATTAAAAGCCAAACAAAATTAAATAAGCCCAATGAATCTTACATTTTAACTATACAAAAAAGTGGCCAGAAAGACGAGACTAATACATAGACTATAATATAATAATTATGCGCATCAAGAGATCTTGTATTATCATGAGGATATTATATAATCATGGAAAAGGAAGTCCTATCCCAAATAGCGGCACAACACCTGAAGACATAATAAGGATTAAGGATAGCAACTACTCAAACATGGCACTTAATTAAATATATAGTCTCTCAAAAAGATGAACCATAATACTTTTAACAAACTAACAACATATATTAAAGGAAAATAAGAATAAAGATAAATATAAGGGAAAGAACAGAACCGTATTAGCACTGTTGCATACAAGATAAGAATGGCATGAAAAACATAATCAATGCCTCGGCTTTTAAATCTAACTAATCCAACTAGAACCATTATAAGTTAATAAATAAATAAAGCATGATGACAGTAAGCACATGGAAGTACAATTAATTAGTTGCTCCACACATAGAAATACACACAAAAGAACACTAAGATGTAGGAGATCATTGATGAGCTACATGCATGCATTGTAACAACCTAACTGATTCTAGGAATAGATCACAATAACAACGTAGAAGAGCCTATATTAAAGGGATTTCTCCAACTAAAATGAGCAATATGCAACTTCTGAGAGCACCCTGTAAATCCTTAAGTCCTCCTAACTTTCTTTCATAAAAATTCCCTATTATAAAGCATCCCCAAGGGAGGAAAAAAAAAAAACTACGGAGTTGGTGTAAATCATCATCACCAGTAGAATGTCATCTGTGACTATAAGAATGCAAGATGCCAAGCCGTTGGGGTAATCCGAGATACTCCCGAGATAGATTGCTTGGTAATCGGGTTGAGGGTTTTTTCCTGAGGAGAATCAGGATTTCTCTGAGCCAAGATTGCTTTTGATAAGGCTTCCCTTCCCAAGATGCATCACAAGTTGGTCAGAAGAATTTGAATATTACTATATTAGGGTTAAATGTCTATCACATGAAGAGTAAAATTGATTATAGGACTTGCAAGATTTTAAAGGATTACACTTGCCAAATTTTAAAATAGTGGATGTGACATATTGACTCATACATCATGCTTTGATATTTGATGCAGATTTGACTTGACATTTGCTGATTTGCATAAGACCACTAAGGCAGCGAATAATAAAAATTAGGATTTGGTCGGCCTCACCTATAAGGTGAGAAAATAAAACCCACCATATGGTAGCTCTCTAATTGAGTTGTTGTAAGTCCTATCCATTCATAGGCATCTTTACTAGTAGAGTTGTAAGACCTAGCCTCCTATTGAATTCACATTAGATAATAAAACACATGAAAAAACTCAAGCAACTTTGCTTATTGAACTAAGTTGTAAGACCGACCATCAAGCCTTCCTCTAATTAAGAGATTATACGTTATTGTTTTCGTGGAGTTGATTCGAACCTTCGGAGATTCATCTATCTTTTTTTGAGCCTAAAGAAAGTATAGAATCTACCATCCTTGGGTCGGTATATAAACCCCATAAATTCTATTTACATCCTTGAGATAAGTCATAACCCCATAAGTCTCACATACTTTCTCTTAAGTCATAGCCCCATTTGTATTTTCCTTATGCTTAAAGAGATGCTTTTAAACAAGCCAACTTGATTCAACTTAGAGCACCGTGCTAAAAGCAACATGCAAACATGGCAATCAACCCTAAAAAATGTAGATGATAACCTCTATAGTAGTTGGATAGACCATCAAGGATCAAGCCTCATAAAAGAGGCACACTGTAGTATACAACCTTTATCACGCATGTATTAAGGTGCACTTCTCTCGAGTGGGCATAAGCTAATTTTGAACAATTAAATTGGTTATACCAATGCTTCTGAGTTGAACTTTACCTTGCATTGTGCCTTTAAGCCAAATTTCAGTGTGAATTAATTGAGCCCAAAGTTTTGTACCTTCGTGGTCATATCCTTCAACCACTAAATCACAGTCAACCATGTCAATCCCCTTAGGCCTTTTTTGTCTAAAATAAACTTTGAACCTCACTTTAAGGGAGATTCCTTTCAACATACTTCCACCTCAATTTCTAGGAAACTTTAATAGGATGTAACCCATTGATGTTAAATAAAATTCATAGATAATATGACCTTCCCACCCTTCATCATTACTATACTAGGTTCACTAAGTACACTTAGGATGAAAGAACCATGGGATCACACTACCTTTTTGCCCTCTATCATGATCAAATTGACCCTCCATCACAATTCATTCCCCCATTAACTGAACTTCCAATTATCAATTTAGAGTGTGATGATATCATTAATCGAGGTTCTTCTCGGGCATCAAACTCTAGATGCAATTAACCATGACCGCTAACTACCATGGGAAACCTCAACCTCCCAAAATTAAAATAAACCTTGTTTGGGCTCATCAACTAACAAGGAAAATCTCAGGGACCTTATCCTAGTCTATTTTTTAAGCTTCGAGTTACTCATAGTCCTTTCCCGTCTCCAAAAGAGCAAAAAGAAAATGGATCGCATCACAAGCTCATGAACATCTTTTAGAGCCCAACTTAGCAAAAGGTAGGTCGTCTTCACTATGATTTAAGAATCATGAGTTCGAGGCTTTGAGCCATTGAAATATCCTCTCTACAAATAAGGGGTTAAGAATAAGTAGATTAATCCCTTCTCAAACCTTACATTGGTGGAAATTCTATTCATTAGGTACATCTTTTCTATATTTAAATGTCATTATTTGCCAATGTTCGTCGTTACTGACTCCAAAGAGAGAGGCAGCTAGATACCCATATCTAAAGGTGTTAGTTATGAAGGATTTTGAAGCTTAGAAAAGTGATTGTTGATAGTTATGTTCTTTAGGTCGATATATGAGTCCCTTTATACCTCTTTGTGTATGAAGAAATGAATAATGAAATAAAATTTTGAGTTTTTGCACTTTTTTTTTGCTTATATGCTTTCTTTGCTGAAATGAAGGACTTCTTTAGTGAACGTGAGATGCATATCCATAGTGAGGATGTACAAGGATTCAAAAAATGCTATTAATAACAAAGGAATGCGCAAAGCAAGAATCTTCCTATTGTTTTAGCAATAATCTTCCAAATGTTTTGTTTTATCTTTTTTCCTGCACATATTCCCTTCTTCTTTTGACCTCAATTCTAGGATTTCATGTATATTGATGCTTTAGTAGTTAGTTTAGGTTTAATTCAAAATCAATTAGTATTAAGATCTCAATTTGTAGAACACTTTATTTTTCATTTTGATATTTAAAATCTTTTTAGAACTTCAATTCTTGGCTTGCAGATACTTCATTGAATCTAAATAAACAATCAAGTTTTTTTTTTTTTTTTCAATGTGTTTCTTTCCATATTCAAGTCTCTTTTGACCTCAATTCTAGGATTTCATGTATATTGATGCTTTAGTAGTTAGTTTAGGTTTAATTCAAAATCAATTAGTATTAAGATCTCAATTTGTAGAACACTTTATTTTTCATTTTGATATTTAAAATCTTTTTAGAACTTCAATTCTTGGCTTGCAGATACTTCATTGAATCTAAATAAACAATCAAGTTTTTTTTTTTTTTTCAATGTGTTTCTTTCCATATTCAAGTCTCTTATATATCTATTACCTTAGCTCTCATATATCTCATTTTCTACTTCCTTACATACAAGGCCTATGATATAAAACATAAAAAATGTAACTGTTGTTTTACTTACTACCTCTTTTACAAGACTTCTTTTTTATAATTTTTATGTCTCAATATTTTTTTCCATTTCAAAATAATAAAGGGAGACTTTGCAACTTTAGTCTAGGACAAAAATTTCTTCCTGTTTCATCAGCCCTTCCTAAAATATTACCAAAACTTATTCCAAATGTTAATACTAGCAAACAATTTCAACAACTAATTTTTCTCCTCTACTATATACCTCACCCTTCTTCAGCTCCTCCATCCTATATTCTCCTTCTCCGGTTTTGTTAACTGCCCTATTTCACCTTAAGCACATCATGACAAGCACCCACTCACACACACCCAGAATCAGGCTTCCATGTTACATAAAAATATGAAAAAAGTAGCGTTGGTGATGCAAACAAAATTTTGCAAATAACCGCTTCCTTTCAAAATACTTAAAACAAACACAAACTCATATAAAATTAAATAAGACACAACGACACCTTATAACTTTTATATATTTTACAGAAGAAAGATACAATGGTGTGTAAACTTGTGGAGGGAAGAAATATATAGAAGACCGAGACGAAATAATAGTGAGGAAAGAAAAAGGAAGCTAGCTTGCAAGCTAGTAAAAAACCCGCAAGTTTACTTTCTAAAAATCATCAAAAAAACTCTATCTTAAAATAGCCCAAAACTCCCTTATAAATAGGATAGAAAAGGGAATCCAACAGCCATGTTCAGCCGCCCACTACAGCCAACCAAAAGGAGAGAAAAAAGAAGCAATACTAGCTTTTGCCTCGAGATTCGTGCCCGATCAAGCTAATTTTGTGATGCCGTATCATTTATAAATTTAAAAATATATATAATACAAAATTTTAAATATAAATATCATTTAGGAATAATATATTTATATATTTATAATTAAATATATTTATAAGAATAATATTTAATATAATATATAAATTTATAATAATAAAATTTTATATTATAATTCATATAATATATGTTATAGCAAAATTTATAATACATATTACCCAAATTTATAGCCTAACTAAAACCAAATTTGAAGCCCAACTAGTCCAAATATATCAAATTCACATTATAAATTATTTATGCAACTTTTTTAGTCCCACATCATGGGAGGAGTTTGAGGATATTGCTTTGAACCCTTTATAAAGTGTGAAGTACATTCTTTTTGCTAAACAAATTATATAAGTTATTTAAGATAACTTGTATATAATATGGTGAAATTAATCATCATATTTAATAAAAATATTTAATAAAAGTATTTTAAATAGTTAAAAAAATTTTAATTAACTAAAATATATTGTTTAAAATTTAATTAAAACAAAAATAAAAGTTTTTTATAAATCGGTCGGTTCTTTCCCACCCGGACCGGTTCAGCGGTTCACCGGTTAAATCGTCGGTCAATCCGGTTTGATCCAGTCCGATGCAGAGCCGATTTTGTAAGCTCGATCGGATCGGCCACCAGACCGATTCACGGTTGAATCGGTCGATCCGGTCCGGTTTTCAAAACAGTGGTGAGAACCATGGTTAGAAGTAGGAGGTAGAAGTCTTGAGACAAAATATAATAGAGAAAAGGATAGAAGACTAGCTCGCAAGCTAGAAAAACCCTTAGGTTTCTACTCCAAAAATAATCACATAACCTCCTTTAAATAGCCACAAAACAACCCTATAAATAGAAAAGAAAAGGAGGCTAAAAGCCATGCTCAGCCGCCCACTACAGCCAACCAAAAGGAGAGAAAAAAAGAAGCATTAAAGGCATGTTTGGACCCCCACCCGAACAGCAACAGCAAGGGAACCGGGACAGCCAAGAGCAAGAACCGAACAGCCAGCAAGGGGAACTAGGAAAGCAGGGAGCGAGAACCAAACAGCCACAGCCCAGGGAACCGGGACAGCCAAGGAACCGAACAGCCAAAGAACAAGGGGATCAGAATAACCAAGCCAGGAGAACAGAAACCGAACAGCAAAGCCAGGAGAACAAAAACCGAAAAGTCATCAAGCAGCCAGCATCCATCCGCCCCAAATCATCTTAATTAAAAAGGGGGCGGCCATGCTTACACCAAATCTCCCCTGATGAGATAACTTTAGAACTTACATGATGTGCTAATTGAGCCATTTCTAATGGGAGAACTTCCTCTTGAATTTAAACTTCAACTTTGTTGACATATTTGACTTTCTTTTTTTTTCTTAATTTTTAAATAGAAAGGAAGACTCACAACCTACAGCTCTGATACCAAATTGATGCAACCAAAATTTTAGGGAGCTAAGGTTGCAAACAAAGATGATGTCTCCCTTTTGAAATGATATAAACATACACAAATAGAACAAAATGATATTATTATATCCCACAATAGTTTAAACAAACACAAGCATTCCTTACAACTTCAAATAAAAGGACATAACACCATACGACTTTTCAACGCTTTGAGAAGAAAGATACAATGGGAGGGTTACCATGGAGAGAAGAATTAGATAAGAAGACTGAGACAAAGTTTTAGAGGAGAAGAGGAAGGAGATTAGCTCACAAGCTAGTGAAAAACCCCTCAAGTTTTCTTTCCAAAAATCATCACCAAAACTCCTCTTTAAACAGCCCAAAACTCCCCTATAAATAGAATAGAAAAAGGGAGCCCAACAGACACCAAACAGCCAATCAAAATCATCTTAATTAAAAAGGGGGCGGCCATGCTTACATCAGTTGGAAACATAAAATTATCATGCATTAATTGGATCAGACCCACATGCGACACATGCGAGACATTAAACTAGACAGACAAATATTACATATGAAAATATCTGGCTAGTGGAACTGTGTTGAGAGCTATTTGTGCGTGTACTAAACTAGTAGTCACAAGGAACATGAATCCATGGTCAGAAATATCAGCATGCCAAATTCTAATATCACATGCACGAAGGCTAAAATGTTATATACAAACTTTGAAATAAATTTCACAACATAAACATTTTTTTCTTTTCGGTGATTGCTTGTACTAGCAAACACAAACTGTAAATTGTAATTCTAAATGTAAATAAATTCTGAATCCTTTTCTAGTACCCTGCATGGAGACAAGAACCCATTGTCAGAAACCCAGCATGCCTGGTCCAACTGCAAAAACTCAGAAAGCCAATGAAACCAACGCAAACTGGAAAACCAATTAACCCACACAATCTTTTTTATTCTCAAAGATACCTACGCACGTGATATTCACCAAACTACTATTGCTTGGTGGTAGGCAATCGACATATCACAACAAGCATCACAATTTATAGGATTCATGGCCTTTCTGACTTCACAAACCGGAAAATAATATATGAGATACATTAAAACATAATTTTGAAAATAACTTTTCTTTGTATAGTGAAAGCAAGATTAATCATTAAAGGAAATCACAGATATGATGATAAAAAGGGCACTCTATGCATAACTTCCCACCATTGCAAAGTCTGGGGACGGTTGATGTATGGAGAGTGGAGACTTACCTATATATTTGCCAATACAAGATATAACGTAGTAAAATATTGTTAACCACTAAAATGCAAATCACGGACTAATTTCTAGATAAATTGATCATACTTTGCACATCAAAAGGCCATCTACCAGTTAGAACACATCTAATTATTGTTCCACTATATATATATATCAAAGATCAAGATCTTATATAGTTTCAAAATCAATAGCATAGGTGAATTTTACCTAGTAGTATTTTAAAGGGCAGAAGGTCATCAAGAGAAATTCAGAGAATAGCAAATATCAAATTCTATTCTAATAAAATAAATAACTAATCACGATGCTTATTAGAGAAAGATAAGCCCACGCATTACCAAGTTCAGTAAAACCAGGCTCTATCTTTGCCTGGTATAAGAGAGTATCCACCACTTCTTTCTGGTTCATATATAGCTGAAGACAGCGTTCAATTAGATTCTGTACCTGAATAAAGTTGAATAGTATTAAAAATAATTAATGAAATACATGTTCTGTAACATGTTACATTACACAATCATTGTGCCAGTAAAGACATCAAGCTTTGGAAACTCGACATGAAATAAGAGCTAAAATTTAGTACCACTATAGCAGTCCACTTGAAGAAAACAATCCAACAAAGAACACGTCCATTGTCTTATATGCATGCGCAAAGCTACAATCTCACAGATATGCCGCTAACACAATTAACAGCTTAAGCTCGCTTCTGAAAACATGGAAGCACACACATATGTACTGATCTGGATGTATGAGATTCATGATCTCTGATAAATATGTCAAAGATTCTGAATATTCGAGACACGGAAAAAGAAAAAAAACTAAAGCACCCCCCCCCCCCCCAACTAAAGCCCCCCCCCCCCCCCCTTAGCTCACATATTTGCTGGTTTGAGTGTAGAAATCTTTGTATATTTATTAAATATCTCAATGAATCTGAATATTGGTAGTTGGCGCCAAAAAGCCTTGCAGTCTCAAACAGATGGGTCAATCAACGGCACTGGGCACACTCACACAGAGCACATGAACAGAAACATATATACGCATAAATCTTCAAAAAAAAAACTGTTGAATGGGAACATATGATATGTTGGTATCATATGGTTCACACTTAATCCAGACCCAATCTGATGTGTTAATGCTCAGATTTCCCCTGATGAAGTAATTAATGCCCATCACCAGCGGTTCTTACAAGCTTCTAATGAGAGGCAGAACGAACAATCTAAAGCTGATCCTCATTCATAGCCAATAACACTTAATGCAAAATCAAGACAGGTCAGAGTAGAATCAACAATAATGCACACCAATAACAACAATGTGAGAAACAATCCCAACAGCATCCAAGGCCACAATGACAGTACATTCCTTGGAATACCAGAGGGAACAACAGCCTCGTGACAATTCAAAATGACAAGCTACACCAATAACCCACCCACTCAACGACAAATTTAGTAAATAGAATAGTTTTACAATTTCCATCACAATTTCAATGATCCAACTGAGGCATGTTTCCAGCCGAAGATGAGATCAAGAGGTTAATCCATAGAGGGTGCCTCATTTAATTTCTAAAAATTACAACAAAATCAAGTTTTTTTTATATGAGGAAAACAAAGACCATTTAATAGAGGTCCTCTTCTACTAAGGCATGTTCTCTTGATTATTTCAAGAGAATCGTCTTCCAAGAATATGCAAGATAAAATTCTCATCAAATTCTATGTTTCCAAACTATATACTATATATAATGTTATTCATTCATACCTGTAACATTTAGATTTAGTGCAAGTATTCGTACAAAATATCCCACCAATATAATTCTTTTATCATACTCAACACAACAGTAAACTTGAAGTGGGCAAATTCTACTATGTATACATAAGAACTCAAACATACATTTCAAAGATATTATCCCATTTTTGCACAAGAGTTATGAAAATCCATGATAAGCAATTGGGCGTATGTGCTAATTGTCATTTATGATTTATCTAATAAGTCCATGGTTATTAAAGCACCACAAAATGTACTTCCTGATACTATATTTGAAGTGATCTTTCTTTTCACATTCAAAACATGGCAGGAGCTCCATTTTCCCATTGAGGTTGAACCCCAAAATATGAGGAAGGGATAGTTTTTCATACCTTGATAAGCCACATAGATTCCCAAGAAGAGGCATGTGTCGTCTGACCTACCTAGATCCCACAAGTTAATAAAAAAGTTTAATCTTCATTGGATTTACACTAAATCTAATCATATTCTCATGAGATGAGACTAGTTTTAAACTCAATAGGAGATGCATGTCAAGTTAATGTGCTTTAAAAGATGGAAACATGCATCCTCTAATAAGAACTCTTTTTTCAGGAGATATCATTTGTATTAAATTTTCTAATTTAATGAAGTTTTGGAGAATCTAAGACAAGAACCTTCAAATGATAATATTGATGATGATGACAATAATGTCTTCCCTATGTCTCTTCCTCAAGATGAATTTTTCATTCCTCGTCTCTTCTTTGAATGGATTTCTCATTTGTCTGTCCTCTTTGGATGCATTTTACTAGTTTTGAAGTATAACTGAGGGCTCTCAATTCTTCCTCCAATAACAATTCAACTCTTAAAAGTAAAATTATTTGCAAAACAAGGAAACTAATCCAATGGTGGTTTGATTGCGGCGATTGCACAGTGATCCAACGGCAATGGTTAAACAATGGTCTAACGATGGTGCTTAGTTGGAGCTCTGATATTTTTCAAGTCTTTGGCTTAAATCTCAAGCCAAGGATCTCCTTTATGTAGCAAGTAGGGGCTTATTTATAGATTTTTGAAAGAGTTATTTATTGAGAAAATCTAAAATACCTAATAGTATAGTCCGTGTTAATTCCCTTGATTATTAAGCGTTCAGTAAGCATTGGAGTGCCTAAATATATTCTAAATTAAGCAATCTTGGGCTTATATGATTAGTTTTGTCGAGACACTCAATTTGACCATAAGCATGACAAATTTGGAGATCATTTGATCCTCCAAGTAATATGCCGAAGTTTTCAGTTATGCTTTAATTACTTGATTTGGACTCATTTGGACTTGGATCGAACTACTTTTGATTGTGTCCCAATGAGATGTTTAATTCGTCTACAAGTTTACTAAAACCAGAGTTTTTATATAATCAATCAACACTGAAAAAAGGCCTAATTTCACCTCGATTATCGCAAAGTCTCACCAACTGTCATAGAAATCCAATAGATGTCACTTCTCAACCCTTCAAAAATGTGGATTTCAAGCAATTACATCATGTCCTCAAATATTTACTAACCAAGCACACCTAAAAGCTGCTAGTCCCAAGAACTCTAGGGCAACGTATTCAAATTTTCAAATCCTTTATATTTTGAAATTCTAAGCACACCACTTGTATCAAGACCACAATTAGCGGAAGCCGCAGAAACAGCAGGATTCATTAAATGCAGGGTCCAAACAAGTGCGTAGCAGCAAAAATGCTCATAAAAGAAATTACTAAAACTATAAATCAGTAATAAAAAAAAAAATCCCCATATATGATCCTGCAGCAACAAAAACCGAAAACTAACAAGCAGGAGATGAAAACACCATTAGCAGAAACATAAAGGCATCCCTACCAGTTGTATGTCTTGACGAGAGACCTTCCTGATTTCTCCGCTGGACATCCTTCTCAAACACCTTTCAGCCACTACCACTCACAAAGCAAATGACCTAATCAAGATAGAAACCAATTGCATCAGTCCCCATCAAAACAAATTCACTAGGGCATACATCCATCAACATAAAAATAGGCCGCAAACAGTAACTAAAGCATGATCCCGCCTAAAGTAACGGGATCATATTCTGCATAATCATTTTAGACCACAATCAAGTCCGCGCTCATAGAAATCAACAACCATACCAAGAAGCCTAATCAGGAAACTATGCAATCGCGAATAACTTCACCGAACAAAATCTTAAATTCGATTCTCTGTGGATAACCCTCGATCACGACTCAAAGATCAATAAATCAAGAGTAATTTACCTTTCTAGCTTGAACGATTTCGATACCTCCTACACCGTCTCCTCCAGCTAGCCAAGCCGAGGAGGTAAAGAATGAGAGCGCGAAGAAGCGGAGAAAGGCTAGAGAGAGATGGGGAGAAAGGCAGGACAGAGCATTCGAGAAGATGGTGGGGGAAAAGAAGGCGGGGGCCTGTGGGGAAAAGGAGATGCCTGCGGTTAAAAGAAGGGCGTAGAAGCTCTCGGGGCGTTCTGCAGAGCTAGCTTCGTGATCGACCCTTCAAAGTGCAGAAGCCATCATGCTTTTTATATAATCAGAGGCACCGCCCGAGGCCGGATAAAATTGCGCAGGAGAAGGGATATAAAATTTTTAAAAATTGTTAATTTTTTAGCTGTAATATACAGTTATAATGTGACCATTTATAAAATATATATTCGATATTTTTTATTTTACATAAGTACAAAAAAATATTTTTTATTAAGTAAATATGAGACTTATATTTTTAATTATTAAAGTAATTTTAAAATTGTAATTTCTATTTGATAATTCACATTTGAATTTCAATTTTTAGAGTAAACCCATGGTTATTTTTTTTAATTGTAATTTTATTTATCTATATAATTCCTCATAAATAATAATAAATACTACTAAGTATTTATTAATGTTTTTATTTTATTTTATAGATGTGCTTATTTTAATATGTTATGCATATATATTATATTTTATTAAGAATCTTGCTAACTAAATTATTATACATATAATTGGTTAAAGTTGTATTATCCTATAATTATGGTATGGTACAATTACAATATAAATGTACATTCGAACTTTCTAAGCCATAGCCATGTAATGTTTAATTTATGAACAATTATATTATTATGTTACCAATTAGTTAAATAATTATTTATTTTTTATATTTTTGATATCATATCAAAAGATTTGTTAGTTTGTTCCATTGTTTAGACTTATTCAAAATTTCATATTATTTAACTAAAAGCCCCTCCCTATAAATTATTAATTTACCTCTCATTTTCCAACTTAGGCTTCATTTGGGACTATTTTTTTTTATTGCTTTTTAAAACAGAATTGTAGTACAAATTTTTAAATTTTTTTACTAAAACTTTGTTTTCAGAAGCAATAAAAAAGCTGTCCCAAATAAAACCTTAGTCTAGGTAAGCGAAGGAGGGACGGAGAGAGATTATGTATGAATTTACATGAGAATGATGATTCAGAGAGCTTACGATGTGATTCAAGATTCAAACAATTAAAAAAAAATTATTCCTCCAAAATAAAAATCAAGAATCAAGAGTTATTTGAAATATTAATCATAATATGCTTACAAATTACTTACAAATTATTTGGTGTGACAATTATTTCTATCGAAAATAACATGTGCAATAGAACACGGGTTATGATAAAAGCTTCTTTTGAGTCATTATTGCACCTATGCTTATTTCATTATAGTTTATATCAATCAAAATATTATTTCTTTTTTATGTTTATAAGAAAATACCATAAAATCACACAACAATAATGAGCTATGAGCTAGCTTTTTATGTTATGTCAAGATCATATAAGATAATAATTTATCCCTTTATCAATACCACACAATCATACATCATGGTGACCGAATCATTTAAGTACCACATATCACATAAAATGATGACCTTAAAACAATATGTTTTATTTAATATATAAATCACTAAACAAGTCAAGCTAATTTATCAAACTTTTCATTATGCTTGATAATTAATAGCCTTATCAAATAAAAACTTTAGAAACAATAATCAAATAAACATGCTCAAATAACTACAATAGTAAACTACTACATTATATGGCTTTCATCTTTAGCTCCCCTCTTTCTTACCTTCATTTCCTTCTTACCTCTACTCCATGATTCCACTCTTGCTTAGTTTTTCCCTGTAAGACCTTAAAAAAATGTGGATTCTAAAGCCAAAAGTTTTTCATAAAATTACTTTAGAAAGCAATAAGAAATCTGTCCCAATTGAAGCCTTAGCATCGACCAAACTTCATAAATCATTTAAAGTGATGGTCAATGCTTCTTCATATAAGCTTGATGTAGCTTTAATGCAAGAAGGAAGACATGTGGCATACAATTCAAAGCTCTTGTAGGACACTAAGAAGAACTACCCAACATAAGATAATAGTTACCACACATCACAAGCAATAAAATATGGTGGTCCACACAAGCCATAAGCCACTTCAATACCTTCAAACATAATCCAAATTTTAACAAGGCTCAACATATGACATGAATGGCATACCAATTGAATTTCAATCTAACCATTTGGTAGAACATCTAAAATAAAATGATTAGAACAACAAAATCAAGCCTTTATCATCAATCAACATAAGGACGGCTAAATTAATCATTTTTTCTCCATTATGACTTATTAAGGCTTCGTTAGGAATGCTTTCTTACTATTTCTTAAAATAGCTTTCTAATAAGAAAATTGTTCCAACGAAGCCTAAGAGTCAAATTCTCATTTAAACCTAATGAAAAGATATCATTTCCAATACTTTCTAATCAAATTTTTTTATGTTTCCCTCAATCTTTTTTAATATAGGATGAATCTAATACATATACTCTCCTAAACCCAAAATAAATTGAATGAAATCATATAAACAGAATTGAAAATCTCAAATCAAAAGGCACACAATCTCAAACAATTTTTTTCTGGCAAATTACAATAATTTGGTGGATGTGGTAAAACATGGAGGAGATCCAGAAGATTAACATATTCAAAGGAAAAAAAAATAACAAGAAGAAAATTAAAGAATGATTTCATACACATACAACATAACTGAGATGCATGTATATCATAGATCTAATGAATGGTTTTATACAAACAAAATTCTAATTAATACAATGAACAAGTCAGATGCACCTATGGATAACCAACATGCTTACATGCCTCTCATAGAAGACCAGCCTGAACATCCTATACCTGAATAATAATGTTATAAATACAAAAATAAAACATTGAACTAATCAGGACCTATGCAGTAGGGGTCTCAATTTCAGGTTACGGTCGGGTTCGGGTTGAACTCGAAACTGACCCGACACTATTCTGGTATGGGTCGACTCAACCCGATTTTGCAAACGGGTTGATTTTCTAGACCCAAATCCAACCCGCTTCGGGTTCGGGTAAACCCAACCCGCTTCGGGTTCGGGTCAACCCAACCCGACCAGCAAACGCCGCGGACGCGACATGCCTCGGGACACCGGTGACGCGGAACTGCCGGACGCAGAACACGGCGTGTAACTGCCGCGGACGCCGGCGAGGCGGCGACTGACGCAGGACGCGACTGCCTCGAGACGCGATGTGACCTGGGCTTGGGAAGCAATGCGATGTGACGCATCCGGGCAGGAGGGAAGCGAGCAGGGTCAATCCAGGCAGGGGTTTGTGTGCCCGAGTCATTTCGGGTTATTCCCGAGTTCCCGAGTCAACCCGAACCTGACCCGATTTTTCAAACGGGTCGGTTTTCAGGACCCGAACCAGACCCGCTTCGGGTTCAGGTCAACCCAAACACGACAACCCAAACCCAAAATTTTCAGGTCGGGTTCGGGGCGGGTCGGGTCCAATATTGACAAGTCTACTATGGAGGGAGAAGATCAAGAAAAGCAAGCTTTGGATGGTTCTTAAAATTTTCAAATAGTGCTAAAGAAACCATCATACCACGATTAGAAGCCTCAGAACCCCGCTGATAGTTGCACAGGTTGCCTTCAAATATCATTGTCCATACGAAAGCCCTTAGCCATTATACAGGAAAGCACAAAATATGGAATATCCATTAGAAAGAAATTTATTTTAAAAATGCATGCCAGGAATTTTAAAGATGGTGAAGAGAACAGAAATTCTTCTGTATTTGCTTCAATGAAATTGGATTAGGAAATTAAAATGAACAAGAACAGAAATTTCTAAGGCATTTTTATTATGTGACCACAATGATCATAAACGAATAGTCAGAAGGCTTTTTTGAGATTTAAACCCAAAAAAATAGCATGAAATCATTCTCTCTATTTGGTTGAGGCCTTTTACCTTAGCCTGCCAATCAAGTAAAGAAAACTAAATTGAAGAGATTCTTAATCTGTTTGAGAAGGTTATAAAATTTTAATAAAGCTTAATGTAAAGCAGCAAATAACTGAAGTTTTCCCAATGGCTCACCATTTCTTTTGGAAAAACGTTTCAGAGGCCAACTCAAGCTTAGCTCACAACAAAATTTGTTCTCTGCTTTATCTAGACAAACCTTTGTGTTATAGGCCATGATCTACTTGTCTTCAAAATAATAAAATTAAAATTTGGACAGCTGCAGTTTTTTATAAATTTTGCTGTAAAACTGCTATGAAAAAAATATTCTTTTCTAAAGCTGTTGTCGAAAGCAGCTCAGCTTCCTAACACAAAACATTCTTGAAAATACTGGCCAAACAGAAACTATGATTGTGGTCTAATAAGCAAAGCAATAAGAACACTGTCCCAATCGAAACCTAAGCAGCCGTGCAGCTCATATTTCACAATGATGGATATCCAGATGCGATCTATACATATATATTGGTTTACATAAATGTATAAAGCAATAAGCATAAGATGCCGCTGATCCAAACAGTAAGTATGTATTATTAAGAAGATAACACAAAACCAGAGATATCAATAAGCTAGACATCCGCTGGAGTAATTCAACCAATTCAAGGTGACCAAAAAGAATTGACATGCCTCTTTCTTCCTTTCTTTGTTGGGCAATAAATTAATCGTCATCCCTCACTCCCAGAGAGAATGAAATCACATGCATTGATTTCCCAATGATCATCAAGCCAAAACCCTAATGGCAAATACTCCCATCAGATTGGGGCAGGATCAACTCCAACTACAGATGTATTGCAAGGAGCAGTTATTCCCATCCCAGTAAGATACTTAACTTGGATGGCTAGGGTCAAATTTATGAGGCACATAAAATATGTATGACAATTGCTTTTCAAACTGCTAAATTTTACCAAATCATTTCAGCTAAAATTTAAGATTAAATCAATTTTTAGATAATTTCTTCAAACATTGGTTAAAATCAGGTATTAATGGCTTAAGAGTCCAATGAGCAGTCCACTTACACAAAGAAATTATCCCTTATTTGGAGTAATTTAATCCAAAATAAACTTTCCCTCATATTTCTCCAATTCTAATCAATTTAATTGTGTATTATAAGACATAAAGTCAAAGAACCCCAGCCAAACAGTGCCTGAATGTTACCCAGAAACTTCAATAATAACCCTAGAGCAAGTCTCATGCTGCACCCATAGAATATAAGTTTGCAATCTTCTGAGAGAGAGAGAGAGAGAGAGAGAGAGAGACCCAGACGGTTTTCAAATCCATCAAAGAAAGGAGGGAGAGAACAGAAACTCAAAAAGTAAAATGAATTTACATTCCATTTGGAAATCCTACCTTCGTTGTTGATTGACTTCATTGCTCCCACGTTACAACGAGCTGTTGGAAGTATTCTCATTCGTTAGCAATGAGGTAATTTGGCATTCTGGCCCGATGCAACTTGATTTCATTGCTGTTCAACTAGGGTTCGCTTTTCGTCTTCTTCATTTATTCATGGCTGCTGGACTTCGCATCGCATAGACTTTTGAACGAGTCGCTAAAAAACTTCTTTGCATCATTCGGTGACCTTCCCTTCATGTCGAATCGGAAGCCACAACATTTTGACGATGTTGTTGAGGGTAGAGTTTAGCACAAGTTCTACGTTGCTATTCGACTTGGCTCCTTCGACGACGTTCCCTTCATGTTGGATTGGAAGTTATGACTTTTTTTTTATCAGAAGCAACAACGGGAGCTCGATTGCTGTAAAGGTAACTTTCCCCCTTTTGCACGCTTCTTCGGCCAAATCCCATAAATCAGCAGAACCAAGGATTTCGTAAATCCGGGATTTACCACCAAAAGAGGGAATTTTCCGTCAAACTCGGCCTAAATCCTGCATCCAAACAGACCCTAGAGTGTGGAACAAGTCTCAAGCCGCACCACACAATATCACCGTAACAAGCATAAGTTGCAATTTTCTGAGTCACAGAGAGAGAGTCCCAGATGCTTTTCAAATCCAGCAAAAAATAGGGGAGGCAGAAAAAAAAAAAAAAAACTCATCCAAATAATAGGTGTAACCTGGTTGCCGGAGAAGTTAAAAGCATCGCCCCTCTCCTCTCCTGCCATCCTCGGCATCTTGAGAACAATAAAAAGTTCATCTTTAGATCGCATCGTCTCTTTCAATGGATGTAAATGAGAACTACGCATTGAATATGTAAATAGAGAAAAATAAATTGTTATGTATGTAAAAAACACTAAGAACAAATCCCCGTTGTTCGACCCGGCCTTGCAAGATCTAACCAAACGGGCTATTCATTAGGAGAAATACTTATGTACCGAGTCCAGAAGCTACATGGCTAGCACACAGAATGTGTCTTATGCCCATCCTATGTACAAATTGTGTTTAGAAAGCAGGAAAAAGCAATTTTAAAAGCAAAAAATAAATAAAGCTATCCTAAACGAAGCCTAAGGCTTCGTTTGGGACGGTTTTTTCATTGCTCTAAAACAGAGTTTTAGTAAAAAATAAAAAAATTGTACTAAAACGAAGTTTTAGAAAGCAATAAAAAAGCCGTCCCAAAACGAAGCCTAAATCTCGTGAATTAACTCAAATTTATTAAATCTGGGATTTAAGCCAAAACGTAGAAGGAACAGAATTTAAGATTCTGTAAGATTAAAGTTGTTATTTTTGCTGTTTGGCATAATTTAGGCTAAATCCTGCATCCAAACAAGCCCTAAGCTTGCCGTCTTGTTGAGGAGATATATAGAACACATTGCTTGCAAGCCACTTGAAGAGAAGAATAGAGAGTGGGAGACAAAACTCGCATCCCCAATATCTGGCCTTCAAACCCTACTCATAGTTGCACAGGTTGTCTGAGAAGTCTTACCTCAAGCCATATTTGATAATGTATGGAAAAACTCCAACTTTAGTTCATGGAATTCCACATCATCTCTCATAAAGGAGGTCAACAAAAAAGAGAACTGCTCTTGGGCTTTAAGAAAGAATTAATAATATTAGCGGGATCATAAGTCAGAACAGGGGCTCGCCATGGAGATAACAATCTTTCACCCTTTTCGCTCGCTTCTTCAGCTAACACACGCAAATCTGAAGAAGTACTGGATTTTACTAAATCTGGAATTTAAGGCAAAATAAAGAATGAACGGGATTTAAGATTCAGCAAGTTTTAAAGTTTTTATTTTTGTTGTTTGGTAGGATTTAGACTAATCCAGCTCAAATCCTCCGTCCAGACATCCCCTAAGATTTTTTTCCTGTTGGGAAAAGATATAGAGAGAGCTTCTTGCTTTCTAACCCCTAAAAGAAAACAAAAAAGGGTGAGAGAAAAAACTCTCATCCACAATCTCCGGCCTTCAAGCCCTACTCATAGTTGCACAGGTTGCCTAAGAAGGCTTACCTCAAGCCATTCTTGATAATGAATGAAGAAACTCTACCTTTAATTCATGGAATTCACCATCACGCCTTGCAGTGGAGGTCAACAAAAGAGAGAAATTTACCAAAAGATAACTCTGGGGTCTTGAAAAAAAATTAATGACATTATTGGAGCATTACCTAATGAAGACCAAACCAACGGGCCCTTAGAGAGCTTTTGAGCCACCATTGGCTTCCCCGTAGAGGTACTTATTGTTCCCGCCTGATAATTTGTCCTGAGAGAGAAACAGAATGATTATTCTTTTAACAAAAGAGAAAAAGAGAGAAGAGAAACCTTGTAAGATGTGTGAGCACCGATCTGATCCATGTTGAATCGTTTTACCTTGTTGATCGAGTTCAGACCTCTGTTGACTCAATTTGTCATGGCTCAAACACTACAAACTCAACACAATATTTCAAAGTACAGACCTCTCTTGACTCAATTTGTCATGGCTCATCAAAACTTACGTTAGATCATAAGGAAATTTGTATGATCCCAACAAAAATCAATGGACAAATACACCAAATTCTTTCAGCTGCCCATTTTTCTTTTAGAGAAATGTTTATCAGGCCAACTCAAGCTTAGCTGACATCACAAATGCCACATCAAATCGCTTAGGGTATGCTTGGATGGGCGTGAACAATTCCTTACCCAGCCCTCATGAAAACGAGAATAAAATTTTATTGGCTCATCATAGGGACTCACAAGCCCACTCTAAAATAAACACAAGAACAACAACGCTTTATCCCACTACGCAAGGTCGGCCACCTAAAACCTTTTTTTTTCATTGTGTCATATTAAAAGTTGAATTTTCATTTAAATCTAATAATAAATAAATTTTCAAATACTTTATAACCACATCTTTTTAATTATACATCCTCCTTTTTAACATATGTCAGATATAATACATCCACTCTTTTAACCAAATCATCAAAAAGCCAACATTTTATGTGACCAAACCATCTACGACAACTGTCTAATCTTATCTGCCACTAGGTGTGAAACCCCTTAAATAAAAAAAAAAGCTAAACTCTTAACCATCAAGACGCATGTTGGTGTAATTGTTGGAATTACATTAAGAAACTTCGCAATTAAGCGTGTTCATCAAAGAGATATCCTGGGGTGGGTGAAATCTTGGGGAGTTACACAAAAAGGACAAAACCGGGATGTCCTTAGAACAAAGCGAACAATATCTTGATAGTTAAGAGTTTGGGCTTTTATAAATGATAACATAGCAATACACCAACAAAAAAATGAGAACTAAGTGTCATACAAGACAAAATGCTAAGCCATGAGAACCACCTTTTGAGCCCTGTATGAGACAAAGTGCTACATGGTGGGAGTCACCACTTGAACTTTTAGGGGCCACCCCTAGGATTTTATCTGCATGATGGATGATTTTGAGATAAAGATATTGATGAGAACATCAGTTACATAAGTTGATAAGATTGTGAAATGTATAATTGTTTACATAAATGTATAAAGCAATAAGCATAAGATGCCGCTAAGACAAAGAGGCAGTATGTATTATTAAGATACCACAAAACCTGATGCATCAATAAGCCAGACATTAATTCAACCAATTTATGGAGACCAAAAATAATTGATATGCCACTTTCTTCCTTTCATTTATAGGCAATAAATTAATCACTATTCATCATCCCCAGACAACGAAATAACATGCACCAATTTATCAATGATCATCAAGCCAACCTTATGGCAAATACTCCATCAAATTGGGACAGGATCATCTCCAACTACAGCTGTATTGCAAGAAGTTATTCCCATCCCAGTAAGATATTTAACTTGAATGTCTAGGGTCAAATTTATGAGGCACATAAAGCCAACATTTATGATAAATGCTTTTCAAACTTTCATATACCAAAGATAAAATATTGACCATGTGGTATTTATCTAGATTGTGTTCTACTAAAAATATAAATTAAAACACCTTTAGCTCCAAGCCAAATAATGCCTGTCATTACCTTCATACCTAGGGGGCGTTTGGTACCAGGATTTATTACGAAAACATTTTAGCAAAAATTTAAGATATAGTCAATATTTAGCTAAGATTTCTTCAACCATTCATTAAAATCATGTATAAATGGCTTAAGAGTTCAATGAGTCCGCTTATACAAGAAATTACCCCTTATTTGGAGTAATTTAATCCAAAATAGACTTTCTAACACATATCTCCAATTCTAATCAATTGTGTATTATGAGGCATATAAAGTCAAATTTCCCTAGCCAAACAGACCCTAAATGTTCCCGAGAAACTTCAAAAATAACACTAGAGCAAGTCTCATGCCGCACCCATAGAATACCCTTCAAAACATAAGTTTGAAAACTTTAGAGAGAGAGAGAGAGACCCATATGGTTTTCAAATCCACATGCCCCCCTAAAAAAATTTTACTTACTTAGCACAATGGCATAAGCCCACATATAAAACTTAAGCATCCATTTTGGTACAACTCCTTGTCAGCTTTCATTTTATTTATTACAGGCTTTTTCCATTTCAAGTTTTCAATCCACCTAGAGAGAAAGATTAATGGGGTAAAATATTGAAAGAGAGGGAGGAATGACTTTCCATTGTGAACGGACAGAATGATGAAAAGAGATTTTAGTCAACAAGTTCGAGATATCTCCTCTAAAGGATTTGGCTAAAGCTAAAACAAAAAGCCTAAATGGGCTTAAAGCTGATCGTTTTAGTGGATGAACAGAACAACAAGTTCACCAACGAGGAAACCTACTCTATTTTTTGTAATTTTTCTTTTAAAATTTATTTATTAATACAAAGAAGTAACCAACAGCCTTTTTTTTCGGACACATGAAAAGCATCAATGGTTCGTTTTCCCCTTCGCTTCTCTCTCGCGACTCATGACCTCGAGCACGATTTTCATTTTTCATTTTGCTTCTCTCTCACCCCCAAACGAATACCGCATGTGACAGATGTTTATGCCTTCTAAAGCTCTAAGGGCCATGTTATTTGCATTCTCCTCTTAGATCCGATAATGAGACAACAAACTGAACTATTTTAAAATATTATATCCTTCCAAATTAGTCTGTTAACATAACTATATTCCACTGCTTGATATTGTTGTTGTTGTTGTTGTTGTTATTGTAGAGCCATCAATTTCCAAACAAAGAATGAAGACCTCATCTGAACCACAGCTGCATCAAACAAAACTGGAGGAAAGCAAAACGGAAGAATTGCTAAAATGCTGAATAACTGATAAACATTGTCATAAGAAAAATCATACAATATTTGTAGATCACAAACATTGTCAATAAGTAAAATCCTCGTAATTCAACCCCTTGGCCCGGTGAGATCTAACCAAACGGGCTCTTAATTAGAGGTAACAGTTTCTGTGTGCGTCAGACACACACACACACACAGAGAGAGAGAGAGAGACTCTTATCTTCCAATGTCATTCATGCCCTATCAGGATTGCAAGGGTTGCTTGAGTAGATCTTCCCCAGGCCTCAAGCATCCAGTCTACGAAAATATTACATCTATATGCCATGGCCAACCAATGATTTCACTTCGCCTCCCTCAACAGAAGACAACAAAAGATAGTTTAAAAAAAAAAAACTCACCATAATTACATCAAACAGATAACCTAACAGAACCTATCAGCAAGAGGAGAAATGATTTGGTGCGGAGTTTAGACGTTGTTTTGCGTCCGGACTCCAATTACATCTCGACCTGTGGATATTCAACTGTTCCTTAATAGCGTTTTCAGCGTATTCACCTTGCTTTCACTGCATATTCAATGTGCTTTTATTGCGGACTCGCTACTCTTTTGCCATGCTTTTACTTTGCTTTTATTGCATGTTCACTGGAGAGGTAAATAATTGAATATCCACGTATCAAAATTTAATTGGAGTCCGGACGCAAAGTTACCTCCGGCCTCCGCACCAAATAATTTCTCCCGCTAGAGAGAGAAAAAAAAAGTACTGCATACAGAATCTTACCTCTGAACCCTAATATGGCTGCACTGTTTGCCTGAGAAGCCACAGCTCAGGAACTTATTTGGTTAAGATCAATGGCACTCAGATATTTTGAGATGAATAAAATATATTTTCAATTAATTAATTATAAATTATATTAATTTAATATAATCTTAATTATCAATAACTTTCTTTTGATTAAATATTAAGGAACAATTCAAACTCGATTTTACATATATTATATCCACCTGTTCAAATCAGTAATTAAATAACTTTGCATTTTATTCAAAAAACGTTGCATGCCGTTGCATCCAATTTTGCTTATTTATATTCATGAGTAAAATTATTATTATTTAGCAATTTGCTTTTAATTCATCCAAACCAAATGAAGCGTTAAGGGGATGTTTGGCTGGAATACTATAGAGTATAAAGTATTCCAAATACAATATATTTTAATAATTTTGATGTTTAGTTAGATGAAAAAGGAAATCAAAGTAAAAAAATAAAAATAAATATAGTGTAAATCATTTTAGTTCATTTTTTGGGTAACCAAACTAACCCAATTTTGAGCGAGAACATTTTACACCACAAACAAGCTTGCTTAATTGCCGCAACCTGCCAACAGGCCATCGAACCCTTAGCGGACACTCACCGGCCACCACCAACAGCCAGCCACTACCATCGTCGCCACCCTCCAGTCACCACCTTTGTCGGCAGTTGACCACCAACTTCCGGCTACCAACGACCACCGACACTTGTCGTTGGCCACCACCATCATCATTGTCATCGCCCACAAGCTACCATTTTTAAACTTTACACTACATTCATTTTACTTCAAACCAAATAAAAAATTTATTCACCTGTATTTACTTTACATTCATCCAAACAACTCCAAAGTATTTATATAACACAATATTTCTTTTATATTGCATACCTTTTACGCTGAATTCTTTTTTTAGCTAACCAATAACCCCATAATAACTGACAAATAATAGAAAAATTACCCTTCTTTTCACCTACAGCTTCACAGAGTTATTTATTCTATGATCTATTGGAAACAACCTCTAATCTAAGGCATAAGATGCTGCTGAGCCAAAACATCAGCATCAATTATTAAAATAGGGTTAAATTTCAAAACAATCCCTTGAATAATACTAATTTAACTCTAAAATATTACATTCATCATATATAATCTCTTGGCTAAAACAGAATGCATCGTAAAAGAAAAAAAATAATAATTTGAAGTTGTTTGGATGAATCTAAAATAAATATAGATAATATTTTGTATTTGATTTGAAATAAAATAAATATAGTGTACAGTCCAAAGATGTTGGTAGCTCGCAGGTGGTGACAGTAGTGGCGGTGGTGACCAATGACCAGCGGCGGCCAGTGAAGGTGGTGAATTGTATAAGGCAAGGGCCGGCGAACATTGTGGCCAATAGGTGACGGCGGAGGGTGGCAAAGGTGATTGTAGCAACGATGTGTGATGGCAGCCGGCAAGAGACAGTGATAGTGACTAGCAAAAAAATGAGATTGCATGCAATGTAAACAGCTTTTGCCCAAAGCTAGGCGAATTTAGTTTACCTCAAAAATGAGATGAAAAGGTTTACACTATATTTACCTTGAAATCATTTTTCGTCCAACCAAAAACCAATACTTTCAAAACCCCTACATTTGAAATACTTTACATAGATTTTACTTCCAACCAAATAAATAGCCCCTAAATAAAATTGATCTAAAATTATTCCTCCAATACTCATTAAAAAAAAACAAAACCTCATCTTAAAAATTGAAGAAGATATGAAACTTACTCGAACAATAACTTCATCCCATAAGACATCAGGCATATGAGCGGAAAGGATATCCAGAGAATTGGAGACGAAAGAAAGGTCGCTGCAACCATCCGTTATGAATCTCTAATAAAAGAGGAAGCCAAAAAGGGATAAGAAAGCACTTGAACAACCTAATAATCTCCAAATATTGCATGCATATAGTCACATGGTGCATCTCAACAAAATAAATCCAAGGACTGCTCAAATTTGAGTCAATACAATGTTCATTGTTGATTGCATCATAAAAATTGGCAGGATTAGGCACAAATCTTGCTGTGATTAATAGGCCTAAATGTCCCCAATATATACGTTCAATATACTAAAAAATAAAAATCAAAAATCAAAAAGTATACTTGGGTTAGCAAAAAAGGTACAAATTACAAACAACGAATCCAAATAGCTAAAACCAAAAGACTAAAGAAAACCCCCGGAAAAAACACAAAAACCTGGATGTAGGATGGGATAGGGAAAGAGAGATGCTTTAATGCTTCATCCACAATTGCCAGTAGAGTGGAGCATCCATTAAATGGCAATATACGTTCACAATGGCACTAACACGGCTGTTAGGCCTGGTTTAGCATGAATCATCACTCATCAAAGCCTGTAAAATAGATAAAACATGAGAAGGATTGCATTCAATGCAAAAACCCGGGTACAAAATGCCATAAACACAGAAAAAACAGAGAACAGAACCCCAAATATCCACAGCGTCCAGCAGTACGTGAAGCATAAACAGAATGATCATGAGAAGAGAGAGCAACCCAGAGTCGAGTGTGGAAAAACAGGTTCAGAATCCAGAAACTGAATCCAAGCACAGAAATAACGTAAGACCAAAAATTTTAAAAAAAAAACATCATTAGCAATTTCTGCACTTGGGATCTGTTTGGGACAACTTTTGACTAACTTGCTTTTTAAACAGCAACCATATTTCATTTAGCTATTAGCTACTGCTTCCTTGTTGCTTTCTCACCGCCATTCAGAAATTGGTGATAGAAAACTACTTTTTGTAACCAAAATAACTACGATAGACCATGACAGAGGCAATGTAAAATAACCTCCTTACCATATTTGTGATTTAGAATGTTTGAAGCCCGAGAACCTGCTTCAAGATCAGTTCAAGAAGAAAGAAACTCCAATCAGGCAACAGGTTTTTTGCAGGGCACGTAAATTCCAACGAAATCTTGCACAAATTACAAACAAGCGCATTTCAGTATCCACAGTCATAGGTATCCGCAGTTTTATACCCCTCGACATAAGCCATCCAGAAGATGAGAGAGTGCTTAATAGAATTTCCTTTCCACTCCAGAGCCTGCCCATACCCATACCCACAGCCACCAACGTACCTGGGCACCCACACCCACCCACGTACCCACCCAACCCAATGTGTATGGGTGGGTATGGGTATGCCCATGGCCATGGCCTCGTGTGTATGGGTGGGTATGAGTATGCCCATGGCCTCGTGGGTGCGTATGGGTGGGTACTCAACATTATGAGATAAACCGATTTACATTGCTAATTACCGTATGCCATATATTACACGCAATCCTCACTATGCAATGCGCAGCACCGAACTACACTGCGACCACTGTAAATTCTGATATGCGGCTTCAAAGTTTGAAGTCATAGCACAAGCCTTAAGGCCATCAGTTCGTGGCGAAATGCACTCAAAAAGCATGGAAAGTGGGTGGGTATGGCATCCCGAAAGTAATCATGGGTGGGCGTGGATGAAGCATGCCCATGCAGAGCAAGGGTACACAATGGATACCCAACCAAGATCCCGTGTAGGGCTTTGCTTTCCACCTTAAATATTGAGACCAATCCACGTTATACAACCAAAAAATTGCCTGAATAGCCTAGGAACTGGAGCAAGATTTCTCCATATTCCATAAAATCCTGTCAACCCGCATAGAAGGATTTAGATTAATAACAGAAAACATTAGAAGCAATAAGAAAACCCGGAAGCCTCCAGTAACCACCATGACTTATCGACCAAAGCTTAACAGAGAAAAGTTTGTCCATAATAACATCACAGCTTGGCCCCAAGCATTCCCACATAGAACAATCACCAGTGCAAGGGTCAAGAAACAGAGAAATAGAAGAAAACTAACTGTTTACGTTGTATCCAGGCTACTTTTACTGCCCTACGCTTCTATTCCTACAACACTATAATACTATCCTTCCGAAAGAAGAAAACTAAAAAGTTCGGTGAATATAAGCAATAATTAATTTGCAGGTGTTAGTAACTTTAATTGATAGAAATCTTAAAATTCATTGCATTATTACATCTCTTCTATACTTCAACATTTCAAAAAAAATAAAAACTGCTCCTCAAACAGTACATTAATCTTTGCTCATCCCCCTCTTTCTCCTTCATTAAGAAAAAAAATTCTCCACACAAATTCAAAGAGGGGGTGGAGGACCAACAGATATTTCATATTTAAAGCTTTTTAACAGAACCCTTACACTTATGGTGTCATAAGCCACAAGCATAACGAGTAATAAACAATACGGGCAAGAAGAAGGATTGGGTTTTCATATAAATCACAGGCAAATTCCGGTCATCCTTTTGGGTGTTTTTTTTTTAGAGGGGGGAGGGGGGGCATCATTAAAAACTAGGGAGATTTACATACATACCACTCTATACTATTCTATTTGCATATTTAACATCTAAAACTTTAATATTACATACGTATCACTCATAGTTCATTTTTATATCAAATATGAGTGGTAGAAATGAAATATATGAGTGGTAGAAAGGAAATATGAGTGTCATATGAAATATATGAGTGGTAGGAAGAAGAGGACCCATCTGAACTCGGTCAGAATCCAAGAAACTCGGTTAAAGATCTGAACCAGGCCAGAAAAAGAACACCCGGTTGCCTGAGCAAGAAGGCAGAGACCAACCAGGGCGACAATAAAAGGGCCAAAAGATGACAGATCATCATTGTCCAGATCAAAAAACCAGCAGAGATAAGCTGTAGGAACCCAATGCAGAAGCAGATAAAAGCCAACCACCCTTATCTTAAGAAGTTTTGTACAATACCCCATTCTTTCCATTTAGACAGTTTGATATTCGCAGCACGTTTGACATTCCAAAGCAAGGTAAAAAGCTACTAATATGATTCCCATATCTTCTAGAATTGCGCTCTCCAAATATGATAAACCAAACAAAAAATCAAAAGAATGCTATTACAAATAAACAATTATATATCTTATGCATACTAATCGATACCATTCAGTGTATGCATTAGCACAATCCGCATGTCCTCTGCGAGCATTCAGGGCTTTTAATATTCGCTTGATTTTGTGGTTTCCATAAGAAACAGATGAACTTGTAGCCACTAACGCTCGGGGCTATTTAAAGACTCATTGTTCCCAAACAAATCTTTATACCTTCCACCACCTTCAAACCATCAAGTCATCCTAATCTAGGCATAACCCTCCTAACCAACTGAGACCTATATAAACCTTAAGGTCAATGTCCGCTACTACTTACATGCTCTGACTTAGGATCCCTAAATGAATTAACATTCCCATTCGAAATCCTAGCTTCATTGCTGTTCAACTAGGGTTTGCTTTTCAACTTCTCCATTTCTTCATGGCTGTTCGACTTCGCCTGCTTCGCATCCCGTAGAGTTTTGAACGAGTCGCTAAAAAAACTTCTTCACCCCATTCGACGACGTTCCCTTCGTGTCGGATCGGAAGTCACGAAAAGCTCGACAATGTTCTTGTTGTTGGATCGGAAGTAGCGACGGGAGCTCGCTCGATGCGAAGATAACCATCCTTCTCCCTTTCGCGCGCTTCTTCGGCCAAATCCCGTAAATCCGCCGAACTCCCGGATTTAATCCGTAATTTAAGGCAAAAATATGAAAACGGCGGATTTATTTTACCGTGGGATTTACGTTCTTCTCAAATCAGCATAAATCCTGCTGCCAAACAGCCCCTTAATTTCTCCAGGATTTACTAAATCCTACTTGCAACCAAACAGCCCATAATTTAGGGTTAGTGGTTACCAAGAAACTCCAAGAGCACGGAACAAGTCTCAGAGAGAGAGAGAGAGAGAGAGAGAGAGAGAGAGACCCAAAATGCTTTTCAAATCCAGCAAATAAACAAGGGAGGCAGCAAGAAAATAAACTCTCATCGGAATAATAAGTGTAACCGGGTTGCCGGACAAGTGAGAAGCAACGCCCCTCCCCTCCCCCGCCATCCTCGGTGTCTTGAAGAACGAGAACAGGAAAAGTTCATCGTTAGGTGGCATCGTCCCTTAACGGAGAAATTATTCTGTGCGGAGTCCGGACCCAAGAGTGCACACAGTGTGTGTACACTGTATAATTTTATTTGCAATGGCAGAGTTGGCATCGTCTCTATCAATGGATGCAAATAAGAACTTCTAGGCTTTGAAAATGTAATTGGGAATAATTAAGCGTTATGTACCTATGCATGTAATTAACCATACGACCAGATCCCCATTGTTCAGCCCCTTCGCCTAACAAGATCTAGCCAAACAGGCTTTGCATTAGAGAGAAATGTAGTTTCTGGCACACACACAAACACACACACACAGACAGAGGGAGATCCTCTTCTCTTCCGATCTATCCTTCAAACCCCATTAGGGTTGCAAGGCTTGCTTAACAATAACCTCCCCAGGCAATCCTCGATGCATTGCTTACAATGTAATATTCCTTCAATAGGCCATGACCAACCTCTGATTCAACTTTCCCGAAAATTATTAGGTCCAGACACCGGAGGTAGCTCTGCGTTCGGACGCCATCAAAAAGGAAACTGGTTTAAGGGAAAAAAAAAAAAAACTCACCATTATTGCATCGAATAAGGACCAAACCCTAACAGGCCCCGTGAGTGAGAGAGAGGGAAGCCCTTCGCCAATCTGCTATGCACCGTGATATATAGAGTAGTATGTTCGTAGCGAGTCATGGGTGCCACGAATGAATAAAATAAAAAATTAAGTATTAATTATGTACTATATTTTATAAATATTTTTTAACCAGAGAATGAAAAAGAAATTCGCTAAATTTTACTCTAAAATTGTTTTTTATCAAATAAAAGTATAAAACACCTACAGGCTACAGCTTATTTTATGCTGAATTATTTTTTCAACAAATCAAATAATCCTGATCCATAAAGAGTAGTAGAAGAAATATAATAAATAGCACCTAGGCCCAAACACATCCAGGAATGAAACCAAGGATTCAATAACAAAAAGCCTATTTCCTCGTGGAGGTCAGCTCCATGATTTTTTTATTTTATTATATTCTAATAAAAATCAAATTTTAATTTAAATCTAATAAATATATATTATTTTTAATATTTTTTTAATCAAATCTGATTCAATCAACCAAGGGCGGAACTCTATATAACCTAGGGGGGCAATTGTATTTTTTACTTTATTCATAATATTATATATAACATTTTTAATATTTAATTATTTAATTATTTTTATATTAAAATTACCCCCCTCAAAATTGGAGTTGGTTCCGCCCCTGCAATCAACCTCTATTTTTTTAACATAGGTAAAAGTTAAAAAAAAATCTCCATTACCAATAGCATAAACATAATGGAGAAATTATTTTGTGCAGAATCCGAACTAGTGTACACATACTATATATAATATGTGTACACTTGCAGTCCATACGATTGTTCTCATCCATACTCCGAACAAAATAATTTTTCAACACAATGAGCCTTAAAACAAGCCACTTCTTGTAATTGTTTATAGGAATCACTTTTTTTTTTTTTTTTTTTTTTTTTGTAAAAAAGATTGTAAGAATAAGGGATTAAAAGTAGCCACAACAAGACCAAAAAAGGGGGTCATAGCACAAAATAAATAGCAATACAATTTAAAAATCCAAACCACTTAAAAAATGAATGAAGAGGGAAGGAAATTTGCAAGAATAGGCTCAAATATATTTGTCTTCACACAACGCTATAAATAACAATAAATAGCAACGGTAATAAAACAAACTACTATGGAGTGCAGTCATGGCTTTGTTTTTTTACCGCAAAGCAAGTAGTAAAAAGAGTTAAGCCATCAAATGATGCACGAGCGTATTCAAGGAATTTTAGGGTGTCCTGACGTAGCTCTACGTTCGGACGCCAGTAAAATTGTGTCACGTGCTCTTATTCTTTACCAAGCGGCCCAACGACCCTATCCGGACCGGACCCGGGATTGCTATGTATTGGCTAATTTGTGCAGACCGGGGTATTGCATAGTATTGCTCGATATTGCTCGTCAATAAGGAGAAATATCATTCTGTCAAGACTAATACCAAACAATACCCTGATTTTGCTAGGTATTTTGCTAGGTATTGCTAGGTATTGGTCTTAACAGAGCAGTATTTTCTCGTTATTGTCAAGCAATACCTAGCAATACCCGAACATAGCAATACCAGGTTCCAGTCCAGGTCGGGTCGTCGGGCCGCGCGGCAAAGAGTAAGAGCACATGCGGCTTATGATCCATTGGAGTGCTGATATATGTGTTAAATGGTGCTTTCACATGGACAATAGAGCATCTAGCTAGCAATTTTTTAACGGAGCTGAGAGTAGAACTAACAAAGGGCTATTTTTTAGATTTTAAGAAGATTTTATGTGATATGTAAGTAATTATTATAGTTTGAATATCAGGCATGTAATTAATAGCATAATTTAAAGTGTTAAGTATATAAATCATCATATATTTTATAAGATGATTCATGTCATGATTATTCGACAAATCTTACGTTATTTGTAGACGACCTAACATAACCACCGACTGTCCACATTAAAGATTTGGGACCTGACAACGACATTGTTCAACCAATTTTTATAAAGAATTGAATGAATAAAAAGAAAAAAGAGAAAAAAAACACATAAAAAGTACATAGCAATTTTGAACTAACTACAACCTTACAAAAAAACTTTCATCTTTTGTGATTAACATTTTTACTTCGGATAAAAATCTTACATGCTTGGGAAAAAGTTGTAAGAGATCATAATTAGAATTTTTTATGAGGAAAATTCAATAAGGGAAACAAAATCAAAGGATAAGGTCTCAATTGCAATAATCTATAATATCTTAGGAGATACACGATCATTTATTCCTCGCAATTGAAGAAAATGAGATTATGTTATATATTTTAGAATAATTGTCTAATTTCCATTGCATGGATCATAGAAATGTAGTGTCCGCTAAAAAAAAATCTAATTCCTATTGTAGGGATCTTAGAAATTGAGTGTATGCTTATCATTGTCTAATTTTTAATGTAGGGATTATTAAAGTTAACTGTCTACAAACGGATAGTTTAAACTCAATAAAAGGATTAGATGTTAATAGTCAACTTACAATAATAGAATGAATGAAGTTTGACAATATATCATTCAGCCAAATGTCTAAATTAACTGTTCTTAGGCTCTTTAGAATAATTTCATCGAGCAACTCGGTTTGACTACAAACAAACAAGATTTAGAGACAATTTCATCCCTCAATTAGTAAAATCAAGAGTTCAATATATCTCATGTGTTTGATTTGAGCTTATTTGAACTCAAATTGAATTATTTATAGCATTGATAGATTCGTATCATCGAGACATTTAGTTCGATTATAAGTTTATTGAGATTTTCAATTAAAATTTTTTGTCTTAGTGAGCATTAATTAATTTCCATCAATGATAAATCTGAGCTAACTAATAACTAAACTTTTGATGAACTTTGATGATCCTAAGTTCAAAGGATTTAAATAATTCATTTGCTACCCAAATGATGGTATAAAAATATTATCGCAAAAGGTGCTTACTATCTCACTTAAAGTTTGATCTTACACGAATCTAAAAGTAAACACACGGCTGAGATGCTACTAAAGTATAATTGTGTTTCAACACCACTGAGACTTTATAAGAAAATAATAATAAGAAGAAGAAGGTAAAAGCTTTAAGAAAGCTTTGTGGACGTGAAAAAGCTGTGAACAAAAGGAATCAGTAAAGTTTTGAGCAGTTGTAAGCGAAAGGAACAAATGCATGCTGCAGAGGAAAGTTGGAAGAGATGGACAGGGTGGGGCCACAAAAATCATGAACAAAAAAATTTGACAAAAAATAATAAAGTATATACGCGAAGATTGAGTGATAAAATTAAAATAATTATATTTATCATATCATATGGAATGTTAAAATATATTAAAATAATTCTATTTCACATCTCATTATTAGAGCCAAGAGGAGCTTAAGATCAAATTTAATAATGCAAATAACACGACCGTAGAGCTTACAAGACAAATATCTGCCACGGGTGGTTTCTGTTTGGGGGGCGAGAGAGGAGCGAAAGAGAAAACAAAATAGTTGTTGTGACTTTAAAGTTTTATAGTATAAAGATTATCAACAAATTTATTTTAAAAGATATATAGTCACGTCAAATTTATTTTTGCAGCTTTATATTTTGAATATATCTAACTATTTAGATTTTATTTGAGATAATTTTATTACTGTTTTAAAGCATTTTTTTAACTGAAAATTTTCTTGGACTAAAAATTTTATACTAAAAAATAGTTTTAAAAAGCAGTAAGAAAGTCATCCCAAACGGAGCCTTAAACTATATTGTTAATTTGTGCTTGATTAGATTAATTCAAGAAAAAAACTAATTGTAATTTATATTCCTCTTTATGTCTCTTTCTTGAGAAATTTAAATAATTGAAGCCAATAAATTATTACTATAATTATAAATATAGCTGTTCTTTTTGGGCGCCCAATGGGAATGGGAGCTAATCAGTTGACGAAACTCATATCTCTCTCATCATATCCCCTTGATTTCTGCAAGCTCACATATTCTTTCCTCCGTTGTTCCGGACAATCCCATGCCCCTCAACTATGGCAAGTTATTGCGTCCGATCACCTGACATGCGGACATCCAATCTGGACACGCCACCTCACTCGGATGCACTTGGCCCCGGTATTTTTGAGTGACGTGGCGCGTTTTTATTGGTGTCCGGACGAATCCTGACACCTGACAGGCTGACACAATAATTTGCCCTCAACTACACGCGCTTGGCTCATCGCCTATTCTTTCTCTTCTTGTTTGGCCCCCTTCTTCCCCCGAAATTCATATTTAAAAATTTAGGTGAATATATTTTGATAAAAGTATATTAAGAATTATTCTTATTAAATTGATCCCACAATGAATATAATGCAAGAATAGTCATTCAAAAATTTATTATAAATTTAATATCGATTAAAAGAATTTATATCTAAATAAAATGATTTGTTTATATTAATGTCAAAATAAATATAATAATTTTAAAATTATCATAATCAAGACCAAACTAAATTGTTGCCCTTCAAAAATTTATTATAAATTTAATATCGATTAAAAGAATTTATATCTAAATAAAATGATTTGTTTATATTAATGTCAAAATAAATATAATAATTTTAAAATTATCATAATCAAGACCAAACTAAATTGTCTATTCGTTATGTGAAAACAAGTCCCGACTCTTTCGCGTTTCTTCACGCCGCGTCGCCGCCTCTAGCCTTTCTTTCGCAGTTTCGCCGTTTCTTCGCGTTTCTCCGGCGACGCAGCCGACCGGCGGCGGCAGACCACGGTTGGAGCCTTGGAGCCCTCGACGTGTCTTACTCCGAGTATCCGAGAGCAGCGGCGGCGACTAGGAACTTGGGAAGCCGTGACTTACTGACTCATGAGGTAATTTTTTTTAACAAAAACCTGTTTCACGGTTTCACCGAGACACTGAATTAATTTTTACTTTCAACATTTAGA